ACAGACAACCTCTCGTCAATATGCGTTTTTTGCATTGCATTGCTGCAAAAAACGCATAAAAATGATCATGATTAGTACTGGTGTTAGTATTACTATTATTATTAATGTCACTACTGTTGTTGCGGTTTTAATCATTATCATCATTACTATTATTAACAATAATATTATCAAGACCACTATCATTATTTTTACTAACATTATTACTAATATTAGTTCTGGGAAACAGCGTACCTCGACTAGGAATATATCCATGATCCGATTGGCCAGCTCCAGAGTCAGCGATGTGGTGAACAGGGCGAGGAACCAACTGCTGGCATACATACTTGTATCGAAACCCATGTTATTGAAATGTGTATACAAATCTGGCATTTGCTCCTGCAAATGCGTCGTATACGTACTGGTCAAGGCCCGCATAATCACAAAAATCTCTTATGCGCTCCGGTACGGGACCTTTCACCTGTACTATAACGCAGCCAGGCTTTTCTTTTCTGCCGCATGCCTACAAGCAACTCAGGAAAATAAGAATAAACTAAAACTTTAAACCAGCAAAAAAAAGAACCAAAAATCACTAGCTAAAGCTCCAATAATAATGGCATGGCAAAATTACAAAGCGACCGAGTTTTAATATGTGGTAGATTATGAATTTTCATTCGATGATAACAGTGAAAACAGTAATAACTATAATAATATTCTGCATAAGAAACATCCCCTTAAAATTCAAGTTTTCCAGCTTCTCTGGTTTTCCAGTTCGCAATTCTTTGCGAAAACTTTCGCGCGTCTTTACATGGGGCTCAGATGTGTGTGAAGGTTGGCATCATGTTCCTGAGGTCGTATATAGCCAGGGAGCTCACTTGCAAAATTTCAGCATCAAAGCTTGCTTGATAGCCGAGTCGAAATGGCAAACGAACACACACACGCCTGCACACCATGGGTCGTCACAATACGCCTTTTTGCACTGCATGCAGGTAAAAACGCATAATAATTATAGTAGCAGTAATAACAGTACTGTCCATTAATCATTATAATGGCAACAATTATGATAATAATAAGTAACTTGCTTGCACAAGGCACTCAAGTTGAAACATGCATAGGCCCAGTTCGGTCATCGCTGGTTT